GATTGGCGCTTACACATATGTTAGTGTTTGGCCGAGCTTCTCCTCATATATGCAATCATATACATAAACTAACTATAGTTTTTTAATAGCATATGGCACTGCACTATGGGCTAAATCAAATTTTTTTTTGTTTAAAATCTAATATAACGAGAAGGAAAAGAGCTAGCGCAATAATTTTTTGTGTGAATAAAGTTCAAGTTATGTCGGTTAAAGGAAAACTAAAGCGAACGTCAACACGCTTTACTTGAGGGGTTGAAATGAGGGGCGAAGTTGACCATGTTCAAAAAATTTATGACCTTTCGAGGCGAATCACGATATCGATAAAATTTTTGTTTTAAATAGTAGTTAATTAAATGTACATTAAGGAAAAGCTTATTAGAATACCATCAACCCCTAAATTTAGGGTTGAAATAAGGGGTGAATGGCTAAAACCCAGAAAATTCACTGAAAACCTTATAAAGTGTTTTCATAGGTGGCGAAAACGATTCCTATAATTACTTCTGCAAGGATTGATTTATTGGGATATCATCAGCCCTTCATTTGGAGGTTAAAATAACGGGTAAGTTGCTGAAAACCAGAAAATTCTAGAAATCGATGTCCTTTCGCTTTTCTTTTTACTGTATCTCAAAGGAAAATCATGATACCGATACAAATTTTTTTTTAATTGTATTATATTTAATATAGATTAAGGAAAAGCTTATTAGGATACCATCAACCCCTAAATTAGGGGTCGAAATAAGAGATGAATGGCTAATACCCAGAAAATTCACTGAAAAACATTCTAAAGTGTTTTCGTAGGAGGCGAAAACAATTTCAAAAATTATTTCTGCAAGGTGTATTTTATTGGGATACCATCAACCCCTAAATTAGAGATTGAAACAAGAGGTGAGTGGCTAAAACCCAGAAAATTCAAGAAAACGAGGTCCTTTCGCTTTTCTTTTTGCTGTATCTCAAAGGAAAATCATGATACCGATACATTTTTTTTTTTATTGTAGTAAATTTAATATAGATTAAGGAAAAGCTTATTAGGATACCATCAACCCCTAAATTAGGGGTTGAAATAAGGGGTGAATGGCTAATACCCAGAAAATTCACTGAAAAACATTCTAAAGTGTTTTCATAGGAGGCGAAAACAATTTCCAAAATTATTTCTGCAAGGTGTATTTTATTGGGATACCATCAACCCCTAAATTAGAGGTTGAAACAAGGGGTGAGTGGCTAAAACCCAGAAAATTCAAGAAAACGATGTCCTTTTGCTTTTCTTTTTGCTGTATCTCAAAGGAAAATCATGATACCGATACAATTTTTTTTTTTAATTGTAGTAAATTTAATATAGATTAAGGAAAAGCTTATTAGGATACCATCAACCCCTAAATTAGGGGTTGAAATAAGGGGTGAATGGCTAATACCCAGAAAATTCACTGAAAAACATTCTAAAGTGTTTTCATAGGAGGCGAAAACAATTTCCAAAATTATTTCTGCAAGGTGTATTTTATTGGGATACCATCAACCCCTAAATTAGAGGTTGAAACAAGGGGTGAGTGGCTAAAACCCAGAAAATTCAAGAAAACGATGTCCTTTTGCTTTTCTTTTTGCTGTATCTCAAAGGAAAATCATGATACCGATACAATTTTTTTTTTTAATTGTAGTAAATTTAATATAGATTAAGGAAAAGCTTATTAGGATACCATCAACCCCTAAATTAGGGGTTGAAATAAGGGGTGAATGGCTAATACCCAGAAAATTCACTGAAAAACATTCTAAAGTGTTTTCATAGGAGGCGAAAACAATTTCCAAAATTATTTCTGCAAGGTGTATTTTATTGGGATACCATCAACCCCTAAATTAGAGGTTGAAACAAGGGGTGAGTGGCTAAAACCCAGAAAATTCAAGAAAACGATGTCCTTTTGCTTTTCTTTTTGCTGTATCTCAAAGGAAAATCATGATACCGATACAATTTTTTTTTTTAATTGTAGTAAATTTAATATAGATTAAGGAAAAGCTTATTAGGATACCATCAACCCCTAAATTAGGGGTTGAAATAAGGGGTGAATGGCTAATACCCAGAAAATTCACTGAAAAACATTCTAAAGTGTTTTCATAGGAGGCGAAAACAATTTCCAAAATTATTTCTGCAAGGTGTATTTTATTGGGATACCATCAACCCCTAAATTAGAGGTTGAAACAAGGGGTGAGTGGCTAAAACCCAGAAAATTCAAGAAAACGATGTCCTTTTGCTTTTCTTTTTGCTGTATCTCAAAGGAAAATCATGATACCGATACAATTTTTTTTAAATTGTAGTAACTTTAATATAGATTAAGGAAAAGCTTATTATTCGATTTGGCAGCTCATGTACATGACTGAAGATCTACTTATTCTAATCTAATTAAACGATAGATCGCTTTCGAGCCAATTTCACAATGTGTTTTAACTCATTTGATGACAAATGTCATTGAGATTGACCTATATAGTAAAATTTTTTATGAGATTCGTGCTAGAACAAACAATACGCGTAAAGTAGTGTTTTCGTAAACCGCGTTTACCTATTAGTAATTGTTTTTATATTTGAATTGAGAACCGCAATTATTTTTGGGCACACCTGAGAATATATAATAAAACAAATAGTACAATCTCGAATGATGTATACTCGTAATAGAGCAAGAATGGGTGGGCGACCTAGAAAAATACCCAGGTTCAGAGCAAATGCTGGTAGAAAACCTGCTGTGATTCATCAAGCTTCTCCTAGTACAATAAGGTCACGTGCAGTGGAACTATCAAACAATGAACGCTACAATAAGGTTGAAGTGTTAGAAATGGCTTTACAAATTATTAAAACGAGGCTACTAAATGATACAAGCTACGAAGGATCGATGGAAGTTGACGAGTCGCGTGATAAAGACACTAAAAATAAAAATTGTAATTTAGTTGAAGAGCACACCAATGAATCGGCTGTATCTCTGTGCTTGGAACTTAAATTATCCAGAAATTCTTACGACATATTAGCGAAAGATACAAAAGATCGCGGATGTCGAATTTTTCCCTGTTGGAGTACTCTTGGACGTGCTAAAGGAGACTGTTGTCCAAAGGATTACAGCATATCTGAGGTTTTGTTTCTATTTAATAATCAAAATTACCTTTCACGATAATTTTTAAAGTAATTTGTTAAAATCTGAACAGTAGCTATAATTTCTGTATTTGCGAGGCATCTCCTCATTTCGTGTATGCGACTTTAGCACTCGATTTAACAACACTCAGAATGCTATATAGAAAATTAGGATGATTTTATTAATTGCTTAATTGCCGTTTTACTTAGAGTAAAGGAATTCAGAGTTTGTTTCTAAATTATATTTTCATAATTTTTAACAAAAGGTTGAGGTATCCGTTCCAATGCAACAGATGCTAGAAAAGACTGCCGAAAGATTATGCGTAGCTGTTACATCAGATTGGCCCAAAACTGCTATGAATAGCATAGAGTTGTCGGTAACGACTGGATTTGATGGTGCCTCTGGCTATGTTAACCCTCAGCAGAAATTTTACGATGAGGAGAATGATGACCGAAGTCCATATCAGTCGCTATTTGTATGCGGAGCTCTAATTATCCAACTTAAAAGTCTGTCCAATCCGAAATACCTCTGGAATAATCCTACACCTCAAAGCTACCGTTTTTTTCGGCCCTTGAAAATCGCACATCAAAAAGAAGACAATGAAATGGCTCTCGAAGAATACAATCGTTTGGGCGAAGAAATTAAACACCTTAAGCCTTTCAAATTTACAATGGGCAAAGGCGTTACAGTGATGGTTGAATTTTCAGTATCAAGAACCCTTTTCGATGGGAAAAATGTGAACGCGATTGTAGGAAACAAAGCCACTCAAAGATGCCCAATGTGTCTAATAACATCCCACAATTTCAACAATCAAAATGTTTTCATACCAAAGGAAGGCTCACTATCCCATGGCTTGGGCCTTTTACACTGTGAAATAAAAATTTTCGACCATCTGCTTCATATTGCTTATAAACAAGAAGTGAAAGTATGGGATGTCACCAAAAACATAAAAGGTACATAGGCACTGCTATTCTGTTATGGCGATAACTAGAAGGTTAATGAATTTATTAATAAGGATTTTATGAATTTCAGAGTCTGTTGATTTGTACGCTGGTCAAGTGAGAGATAGATTATATAATGCTTTTAAAATCAGAGTGGATCAAGTAATACAAGGCAAAGGGACATCCAACAATGGAAATCTTGCCCGAAAATTCCTTGATAGACCCAAAGACTTTGCCAACGCTTTAGATATTGACGAGGAGTTAGTTTGCAATCTCGCTACTATCACTAAAGTTTATAGAAGTGCGTTGGAGATTGAAGTAGAGGAGCTTAAAAAGTTTAGTGATTTTACTTATAAACTCCACTATATAAAATATCCATGGGCTCGCATGAACCCTTCCATGCATAAAATTTTACAACATGGTCCTGATATTGTGCGGCAGTTTCCAATGCCTGTTGCATTTTATGCGGAAGATGCTCTCGAAAGTATGCACAAAATACACAGAGAGACAATTCGGGAACATTCTAGAAGAAATAGTAGAGAAAACGCTATCCTGGACACTTTCAACAGGGCAGTATACTTGTCAGACCCAATCCTTTCAATGGTTTATTTGGACAGAAGGCGAGAAATGCATAAGAAGAGACCACTTACTAATGATATTACTCGATTTTTGAAGCCAGGGTAAGATAAAAACGTTTAATTATAACTAAATTTATAAATATAATTATTTAACTAATAAAACCGCATTTTCAGACAGTGGACTGACCCTGAAGACAGGAGTAATGAGGATTGATGCATACAAAGAGCGACTGATAAGGACTTCGGTGGTCATTCTCCTCATCGTAAAATTTCTGCTGAGGATTAACATAGCCAGAGGCACCATCAAAGCCACTCGTTATCGACAACTCTATGCTCTTCATAGCAGTTTTGGGCCAATCTGATGTAACAGCTACGCATAATCTTTCGGCAGTCTTTTCTAGCATCTGTTTTTCAGTGAATTTTCTGGGTATTAGCCATTCACCCCTTATTTCAACCCCTAATTTAGGGGTTGATGGTATCCTAATAAGCTTTTCCTTAATCTATATTAAATATACTACAATTAAAAAAAATGTTTATCGGTATCATGATTTTCCTTTGAGATACAGCAAAAAGAAAAGCGAAAGGACGTCGATTTCTAGAATTTTCTGGTTTTCAGCAACTTACCCGTTATTTTAACCTCCAAATGAAGGGTTTATGATATCCCAATAAAATACACCTTGCAGAAATAATTTTTGAAATTGTTTTCGCCTCCTACGAAAACACTTTAGAATGTTTTTCAGAGAATTTTCTGGGTATTAGCCATTCACCCCTTATTTCAACCCCTAATTCAGGGGTTGATGGTATCCTAATAAGCTTTTCTTAATCTATATTAAATTTACTACAATAAAAAAAAATGTATCGGTATCATGATTTTACTTTGAGATACAGCAAAAAGAAAAGCGAAAGGACATCGATTTCTAGAAATTTCTGGTTTTCAGCAACTTACCCGTTATTTTAACCTCCAAATGAAGGGCTGATGATATCCCAATAAATCAATCCTTGCAGAAGTAATTATAGGAATCGTTTTCGCCACCTATGAAAACACTTTATAAGGTTTTCAGTGAATTTTCTGGGTTTTAGCCATTCACCCCTTATTTCAACCCTAAATTTAGGGGTTGGTGGTATTCTAATAAGCTTTTCCTTAATGTACATTTAATTTACTACTATTTAAAACAAAAATTTTATCGATATCGTTATTCGCCTCTGAGATACAGCAAAAGGAAAATCGAAAGGTCATAAATTTTTTTAACATGGTCAACTTCGCCCCTCATTTCAACCCCTCAAGTAAAGCGTGTGTTCGCTTTAGTTTTCCCAAGGCAAATTAATATAAGGTGATAGCAGGAGTACAAAAACAAAAATTTACATGTATTTTGTTTTTGCTTTGGCGGCATAAACTGTCAAAATCTGTAAGAGTGTGTGTAGAAATTCAAACAAAATTTTTCACTTTGATATCAGAAGCCGTGCGGCGAAACACATACACAAAATAAGCTGAGCTAGTAACACCACCTTATATAAATTCGCCTTGAGTTTTCCTTTAACCGACATAACTTGAACTTTATTCACACAAAAAATTATTGCGCTAGCTCTTTTCCTTCTCGTTATATTAGATTTTAAACAAAAAAAAAAAGTGATTTAGCCCATAGTGCGCTGCTTCTATATTTCCTTTTTTTACTTAATCTTTGCACCGGGTTTAAGCGACCTTGAATCATCTGTATCCCCTTCTGAACCTCCAGCATCAGAATATATTCCACCTTTAGGTGAAATAAATGAACAACATTTACTTTCATAAGTAGAATTTAAAGATCTTGTACGCGATTTAGAATTGTCCAAAAGGCAAAAAGAACTTTTAGGTTCAATAATGAAATAATGGAAATTTTTGCACGGAAATGTCAATTTTTGTATTTTATCAGTGTTCTATATAACAACCAAAAATCAATCTCCTCGTGAATTAGAAATTTTGCTTTACCAGAAAAATATACATAGTGCATTTACTCAATACTTGGTCTGTCATCACTGAGCATGGATGTGCTCAGCTCACTGTTTGGTAAATCAAAAAGCCAAAATAATTGGAATTCAATGCTTGGTGCGTAACTTAGTGAGTTTTTTTTTTATTTGCGCACTACGACTGCATAAGTACATATATATGTATGTATGTAGTACATATATATGTATGTATGTAGTACATATGTATGTTATACATTACACAATTTATTCTACATTAAGATGGAATTGATTTACTGAATAAAATGTGAGGAATAGGTACATTAAATATGTTTTGGGTTGTTATAAATTTATTTAAATAATTTATTAATAAACACGTGTGTAAACACATACATACGTATGTACTATTTTTACTAAATCAAAAAAAAAAACAAAAAATATTAAACGATAATAAAGGCTTGGCGCTTTTGTTTTGGAAAAATGGGCTTTTTCTGGTGTCCTGATGCCACACTGGCTCAGTTGTCGCAAAAGTACACATACCCCCACGCATTTTTACTCGAAAATAAGTGTGTAGTGGTTAATATGTATACGTTGCCATCTCCGTATAGCTCACTTCTCTCGCCTATCCCTTTCGCGAGCTCGCAGTCGCATCCCTACACTAGTCGAATCGAATTTTTAAGCAATGTCATGTACTTTTCATTACGACTCGACTCTCGAAAAGCGACTTGCATTAGACACCACATTCGCAATGAGGGTGATTATATTGTTACTCTCGGTGTGCCTGGACCAGCCCTAAATGAAAGGTTCTTGCATATGGGTTTTTTGTCCTAATTCTATTACGACGCACACTGGGGCCGCCCCATATAAGCGGGTGCTCAAAATTCTGAAATCATTTTCTTTCCATTAGACTCGCTTGAACTACTTTTTAAGAGTAAATTTTTTACGTTTAACCCATAATTGATCATGCATTAACCCATTGGTGACCTAGTTTTTTGTAATATCTTATGTTAAGTTAATTTGGTTTTATTATTGTGCAAATTATGAATAATTTACCCATTTACGACTTGGACTTAACGCATTGATGACCATATTTTAACCCATTAGTGGCCAATTTTTTATAGAGTATTTCCCCAGCTAATTTTATTAAAAATGGGTAAGTTTAGGTTACAATATAATCAGGAAGAACGAGTCCTTTCGATTTGAGGATAGCTTTATCAATGAATTCGCAATACTTAGAACAAAGTTAAAAGCGATAAAATGTAGTAACAGTAACAAAGTGTGTATTTTTTGTAATCACTAGAAAAGAGCATGAAACAGGTGAAGTCATTTATAAAGAGATCAGTTAGATAGTAAAAGATAGGATACAAAAATTTCCGTTTCAATGTAAAGGGATAAATACATGGTCAAAACAAAGATGAAAGTAAAAATAATTTCAGCTCTCTGAAAATATTTTTTTAGTAAAATTTGTCAAAAAAGTCGAAATTATTTTTAGTTTCGTCTTTGATTCGACTATGAATATACCANAGAGCATGAAACAGGTGAAGTCATTTATAAAGAGATCAGTTAGATAGTAAAAGATAGGATAGAAAAATTTCCGTTTCAATGTAAAGGGATAAATACATGGTCAAAACAAAGATGAAAGTAAAAATAATTTCAGCTCTCTGAAAATATTTTTTTAGTAAAATTTGTCAAAAAAGTCGAAATTATTTTTAGTTTCGTCTTTGATTCGACTATGAATATACCACATTATGTTTTAAATTTAAAGAGATTTACAAATTAAGCATACAAAATATCGAAAAGCAAGTAATGTATCTAATTAAAAACAATAATTAATTAAAAAATCAGCTATATTTTTATAAAAAAATAGTTAAAATAAAATAAAAACAATCCCTTCTCATATACAAATTTAAGATTATCGTTAATTTCTTCATGACCCAATTATCGGATCTAAAGGATTAGTATGGGACCACCCTTGAGGCACCACCTTTCCGATGAAAAAGAATTATCGAAATCGGTTAACGTGCTCCAAAGTTATGCGGTAACATACAGGGTGTCCCAGAAGTAACCTGCCAAACTTGAGGAGAAGCAAAAATTTTTCAGGTAAAAGTGTCACCGTTTTTGAAATATTTAAATTTTTTTTAATTAAAGAAAAATCGTGCCTTTTCGTGTATTTTCTTTAACTGCATCTACAAACAAGGCTATACTTAGTAAATTTTTTATGTAAAATACTTCCAGATAGTTGCTTCTCCATATTCAAATGCAATGTAGTAAAAATATATTAAGGAACCATTATAAAATTANGGATTTTTAACTTTTTGATATTTTCTTCCCCAACTTTGACTATCTCTGGTGAAAAAAATGTACTAAGCTATAACTTTACATTGAACAAAG